TGACTCAGGGCCCTTCTGCCCCAGCTGACAGCTCCTCCCTGCGTGTCACATCCCCTTGGGTTTCCCAAGGACTCTGGTAGGCAGCTGAGATAAGCAAGAGAGAGAGGTCCCACTCACTGATAAACATGCTGGTCTGGCTGCATTCCACCTGCATCATCCATGTAGAGGATGTAGCTGGAGATGCTGGTCCCAGAACGCAGCTGGCAGGCAGGACTGGGGCACAGCTGAAGTCAGCAGTGCACTGCAGCTGGCACCAGGATTGTGCCCTGTGGCAGAACATGGGTGGCATCTGTAGACAGGATTAAGGGACCCACCTGGGCCTATCAAATTGGCTGGGTTTGGTCACATCAATCTTGGTCCCTGGTTCCATCAGTGGCCAAGCTGGCTGCCCATATCCACACTGCAAGACTTCATCCTACAGGCCATTGCTTATGAAATAAGCATAAGCCATTGCTTATGAAATCCTGGGGGACTGGAAATGCCTCTGCCCCACATTCCATGTGCTGGGGCTCAGGGGATGCTGAGAGTTGTGTGGGGGGATGGCAGGGTTGTGTCCCCAACTCTGCCCACCCTCTCCCTGCCTGCCTTACAGCTCTGTGTCAAGTTCATCAAGGACACGCTGAGTGTGGAGCAGGTCTGCGAGGCCCTGCAGGTAAGAGTGACACCAGTAGGGTCATAAAGTCTTAAAAATAATCTGTACAATTTCGGGGCAGGAACAGACTTCACCCTTCTATTTTGGATAGTGGGGCAGGATTTCCCACTCAGCCCTGGCCCAGCAGCTGCCCTGCCAACTCCCAGATCATTGGGGTTGTACCAGGGCTGCAAGGGACAGTGGGGCCACCAGAACCTGACAGAGAAGTGTCTCCTATGTCAACCTGAGCAGGGCTGGCCAGAACTCCACAGTGCCAGGGCTTTGTCATCATCTGCATGAAACTGGGAGGCACTGGGTTTTGGGGAGCCAGTCCCAAAACCCCTGCTGAGAGCTGAGGCACCTAAAAATAGCCTTGCAAAGGTCCTAATGTCCCTGGCCATGCTACTTGGTGAGACCAAGACTGCTCCCCAGAAAAGGGGGATTTTTTTTTTGTCTCCCACAAGCTGAAATAATCTTGGGGTGAGGTGCCTGCCCCAGAACACAGAGCCCCAGCCAGATGTGATGCCAGACCACTGCGACATAAACGGAGCTAAAACTGGCCCAGAGGAAACAAAACAAGAAACCCCAAAACCCCAGAACAAAACAAACCTGAAGAAAACAGCTTGTCTGCCCTCCCCACTTACGTCAGCACTGGTCCCATGCTGTGGTGGAGTGGGACGTGATGTTCACCCTTCCTGTGCTGGTCCCGAGTACCCCACACACAGGGGCTGCTGTGGGGGGATGGGGTTGTGCCCACACAAGGAGCACGGAGGACTCGTGGTTTCATGTGCCTGTGGTGTTATCTTGTGAGAACAGCACCAGGGCCTCTCCCACACTGTGGGCTCGGTGAGGTGCCTGAGCAGAGGTGAAAAATTGTGTCCTGGGCATTAGAGCCACCAAAACATTTGCTGTTGGGCAGGCCAGAAAAGGAGGGAGCCTTGGTGCCCCTTCCTCCCCACCGTGATACCCAACCCAGAGAGATGTCTGCCTCACCTGTGCCCCTGACAGGGCCCATGTTTCTGTAGAGCTTTGGCAGGGAGTCCCTGCTGCCCTGGACCCTCTTGCAAGTGTCCGTGTTGTCTCACAGGCTGCGATGACCTACGGGCAAGTGGACCTCCAGCAGCACTGCCTGGCCTTCATCGAGGGCTGCACCGCGGTACGGTGGCAGGTGATGGGGGAGCATGGTTGGGGTACCCCAGGGTGTGGGGGCACAGGGCATGGAGAACACTGCATGAGGCAAAGGAGCAGGGCCCATAAGGACAGCATGCCTGGAGGCTGGGAGACGAGCAAATGGCATTTGGAGAGAAGATACTGGGCGACTGGCAGAGGCAGGCTTGGGGGGTACTGGAGTGACATGGGATTGGAGTTTGGGTTGGGATGCTGGAGTGCCAGGCAGGAATGACACCAGGATGTGTCTGATGGATGAGGGTGGTGGTTGTGTGGGGTCCTGGTTCCAGCACCCCAGTGTTGTGGTGTGCTGGCAGGCAGTGGTGCAGACCCAGGGCTTCCGTGAGCTCTCCGACGTGGTGCTGGCGCGGGTGCTGCGCAGTGACCGCCTGGCCGCAGATGAGCTGGACCTGGTGCAGGCTGTGCGGGAGTGGGCACACGTCAGCTCGGTGAGTGTCATGCAGCAAGGACCACCCAGGGGTGCCTGGGCCCCCACCAGCCCAGGCTGGGAATGTAGGCACCCTATCCCTGAGCCCAGGGATCTGTGATGCATGCAGGCCCCTGCTTCCCCTGGTGCCCAGGACACCACCAGCCTCATCCCTCACATCCTGATCTCTGACAGGCTGTCCTGGAGCGTCCGGTGGCAGAGGTGGCTGCCCTGCCAGTGAGGGAGCTGCGTCTGCCCTTGCTGGCACCCAGTGAACTGGTGACACTGGAGAGCTACAACCAGCAGGACCTCCTCATCCCGGTGAGCTGCTGCCTGTTCTTAGTGTCTCCTGACTGACCTCTAGGGCTGGAGGGTGCTTCGGGATGGGCTGAGGAGAACCACACTGTGGCAGTGCTGATGTCCCCATCTGTCTCCCCATCCCCACAGGTGGAGAACATCGCGGCAGCCTGGCGTGCCCACGCACTGAGGAAGGGCAGCGGGCTGCCCTCCCGCCTCTGCCGTCCCCGCCGGGGCACACGGCCCCGCGACCATCACCGTCACCTTGAGCCACACGCCAAGTAGGGGTTGGGCAGCGAGTTTTGTCCAGCCCAACCGGGGACTCTGCAGTGGGGCAGGGTGTGGGGCTGGGCACTGATGCTGCTGTGGGCAAGAGCATTGATAAGGGGCTTTGTCCCATGTCACAGTGTCAGGGCCAGGGCAGGATGCCTGGGTCACCCCCAAAAGTGATGCAGGGTCTGGGGGTAGGGTAGAACTGGGCTATGCGATGGGTGCAAGGACACTGCAGGCTGCCCAGGTAGTGACCCAAGGGTGGTGGGGTTGCAGAGATCCCTGCAGGATGGGGACCCAAGATGAGCTCCCCTTTCCCTGGGGCCGTGCTGCCCTCCCCCGGCAGCGGGGCCGTGCTGCAGTGGGAGAGAGCGCCAGCACCTCCAGGAGGGGCACGGAACCCTCCACGGCAGTAGCACGGGGACCCTGGGGCTTGGAGGGGGTGCAGGTAGGAGGGGACACGTGCATCTTTGCAGGCACCGCTGCACCGACAGGCTCCCACCCCCAGCCACCACCAAGCTCTACCAGCAGGCCACACACGCAGGACAGGCTGCCAACCCCCCCATGTGCCACACACACAGTGTGCAGCCCCCCCTTGCACCCCCCATTGAGTGTGTGCACACAGCTGGGTCTGTCTCAGGCACACATATCCCCCTTCCAGCTGTGTTCCCCAGGAGAAAGGGCCGGACACAGCAGGTAATTTATATATAATATATATATTTACTCTTTAAAAATAAACCTTCGGTCCCCACTACCGCCTGTACAAACTACAAAAATAAACCTTTGCTCTCTTTGATATAAATAACTTAGATGGCGGGGGGGGGGGGGGGGGCTGCCCGCCGTGCCCACGCCTGGCACGGGGACAGGGTCCCCAGGGCCACCCCTGCTCAGGGGCAGTGTCGGGGGGCCGGGGGGCCGCAGGCACAGCAAACACCGCTGGAGTTAAAGTGCTGGGTAACGGCGCGGACGGTGCCCGGGATGGGGACAGGGACAGGGACAGGGGCTGGCTGTGGGGACAGCCCCGTTGCACGGGGACATGGTAAGAAATACCGTTTCCCAGCAAGATGTGCCTGGTGGCACCATGGGAGCCCACGTCAGAGTGCAGTGTCCCGTGCATGCTCAAGCCTGTGCCATCCCCTGGACAGAGCACAAGTGTGACACAGGGCTGTGATCATGGAACAGCTCGGGAGCTTGGCACAGCAAGGACCACTCCAAGGATCTCCCCCTTCCAAAACCCTGCCTGTGTGCTGGGGAGCAATAACCTCCCTTTCTCCACTGTGGCACATCCATGATCTCCAGCCTTCCCATCCTTGCCACTGGGGAAACTGAGGCATGGAGTAGCATGTTGGAAGGGGTGAGCTGCCCATGGAGTGGGGGCATGAACCAGGTCTGTGCCCCCAGGCTCCTGCTGCCTCCAGTGGGCAGCCCTGCACTGAGCAAAGGGTCTGCCCGCTCCCTGCCTGCACCCTGGGCAGCCGGGTGAGGCTGTAGACTGAGAAATAAATCTTTTAAAATAAGCTTAAAAATATATATCTCTCTATAGATAGTTTCCCTTTGCAATAAATAAAGGTGGGAGTGCCCACCCTAGGCCTTGCCCATGGCATGCCAGGGCATAGCTGGCTCTGGGGCTGCCCCCTTATCAGAACAGGGGGCATCAGGGCACCCTGTCGGGGTACCCCAGCTCATGGCCTGGGATGGGTGGTCCCAGGAGGAGGTGATGAGGAGCAGGCAGTGACCCCACTGAGGGGGAGCTGGCATGGCACCGAGTCCACCTTGCCAGCAGCTCCAGAAACAGAGGGGGGAGTTAGTGCTTCCATTTCTGGGGGGCAACAAGTCCAGGGCAGAATAACCCCAAGCCCTGGGCGATGGGACATGGCACCAACGGTACAGCCTCAGACGAGGGACACGTGGGCACAGCATGGCCTGCACACAGCTTGCATAGAAGTGCCAGCCTGCCCTACCAAGCTCTAGTGCAGGGTGCAGGGGAGCCGGTCCTCCTTGGCCAAGACCACTCCAGCAATTAGCAGCATGACACGGGTGACCCCGCTCTGCACCCTCCTGTGCCCGCTGGGTGCTGGGGAGATGCTCTGCCCAGGAACCAGCAATCTGCAGGGAGAGAGATTTGGGGGTCAGTTGGGTCCCTCCACACCCACCTCGCACCCCCACGCTGCCACGCACCAGCCCAGGGTAGGGTGCCCCCAAGCTCACCTAGCGCCAGGCACCTGCCCTGTGGTGTCCCATGTTCTGCATCTCAAAGGTGTCGGGCACTGCGGTGCCACTGGTGCTGGGCTCGTCCAGGCAGCCCTGCTCGCTGCTGGTGAAGCCCTCAGGGCTGAAGGTGGGGTAGGAGCCAGGCAGCGTGGGGTGCAGGGCCACTGTCACTGACGCGGTGGCTGTGACGGTGGTGTAGCTGCCGGCAGGACCCTGCAGGTGGGTGCTGTAGGTGGGCAGGGCTGCGGGCGGCGCTGGCCGGGTGCCCGGTGGGCCGGGCTGCAGGGGATCTCGGGGCAGCGTGGTGCAGGGCTCCCCGAAGGGCAGGGGGGCTGCAGGCTGAGGGCCAGAGGCCTCTTTCTTCCCCTGAACCTCCAGGCTGTCCTTGTAGGGCTTCAGCACCTGGAGGGGAAGCATGAGGATCCCCAATCATATTGAGCATCCCTCTGGCAACACCACCAGCCCCCATCCTCCAGGTCTGTCCATCCCCTCGGGATGCAGGGGAGTCGGCAATGCCACAATGGGTAGAGACACTCACAGTGATGCGGGGGAAGCTGGGGTCCTTGCCAGCCTCCAGTAGGATGTGTGCTGGGGCAGGGGGCACGACGAAGGGTCCTCGTGGGCTGCCTGGCCCCATGCTCTCCGTGTAGTGCTCCGTGTCGGAGGGCTCAGGGAAGGTGGCAGGCCAGGCTGGAGCACGCCGGACATACAGTCCCCCAGGGCCCAGACATGGGGGTATCGGCTCTGGTGGGGGTAGGCAGGAGCCATTATCCACCAAGGATGCCTGGGGAGATAAGACAGGTGAGAGGGGTCAGGGACAGAGTATGGAGAAGTAGGGAGTATGGGTTGATGCAAGGATGGTGATGTGGGTGATGCCAGGTGAAGCAGGGATGGGATCAGGGGGGTCATGGATCAGGGAGGGATGGGTCAGGGAGGGATGAAGGAAATTGTGTGTGGAATGAAGCAGGAACAAGGTCAGGTAGGTATGGCTCAAGTAAGATATGGGTCAGAGAAAGGATGAGGTAAAAGAGGGATGGTACAGGGCAAGGGATGGACTGAGGTGGGTTCGAGATGAGGTTGGGACTGGACAAGGCAAAGATGGATAAATTGGGAAAGGTGGGCAGGGAGAGGGGCAATGGGAGATGGAGAGACATGGGTACAGGGCTGGGGAGGACAAGAGAGAGGGGATGGAGGGGTCTTGTACCTCAGGGGGTGGCCCGATGACAGAGAGCAGCACAGGCAGCAGCACCAGCCCATTGAGCAGCCCCAGCAGCGTCAGGATGGTCAGCACCGCAAAGAAATACCTGAGGGGGCCACAGACACATGAGGTAAGCAGGCACAGCCATCATGAACCTGTCCCATTGCAAACATGGCTTCCCATGCTACAGCCCGTGGCCCTGCCATGTCTCCTCAGCCTCCAGGCAAGAAGGAATGGCAGTCCCCAGCAAAATGTCCTCACGAGCAACCCCACATCTCCACTGGCAGACAGGGGGCCTGCCACACCCATCACCCCCAACTGCCAAAGCTCTTGTAGGGCAGCAAGTGTCTGGTTTACCCTTCTTCAGGGCTCACCTCATGATGAAATCAAACTCAGAGCCAGCCAGCATGAGGACACCCAGGAGCGTGGAGACAGCACCATCCATCACAGGCGCAAAAGTGTGTTCCAGTGCTGCGGCTGAGCGCACGTTCCTGCTCCCCGCAGCTGTCAGGAAGCCCTGAGTGGGATGAAAATATCATGCAGAGCTGTCCCCATGTGCCACCCTGATGGGCCACCCATTAGCACATGGCCAAGGGGGTGAGGGTGCCAGGGAGCAGGAACTGGGATCAGCCTGTGCTCACCAGGGCCACGTGGACAGTAAACTCCACACCAATGCCCACCGAGGCAATGAGGATGACCACAGGGATGGCGCTCAGCTTGATGCCCATCAGCCCCATGATGCCAAACAATTCCACAGTAATCATGGCCAAGATGGAGACCTGGAGGGTGGTGGGATCAATGAGAAACGGCTTTCATTGGCTGTCCCCTCTCCTTGGCAAGCCCGATACTACTCTATATAGGGCAGTGTAACCTCACTGACCCTTTTCCCTCTATTTGGGAATAGGGACTGTCCCACCTATCCCATCTTCTGGGGGTAGCCCTCACCCTGCTCTGCATGGATGTAATCAAATCCCTGCCCACTACACACATTCCCATCATAACAGGTTCCCCGATCCCTCCATATGGCTCCCCCAACAACTGCCACCTCCATATGGGGGTTCCCAACACACTCCTGCATGGATGTATCCAGGGCCCCCTGTTCTCTTCATCAATGATGAAGTCCCCCACCCACTGCCACCCTCATATGGGCATCCCTTCCCCTCAGGGTGCCCCTGACCACTCCATCACCCAATTCCCATTAAGCAGGTACCCAGGACCACTCAGCATGGCGGGAGAAAGGCTGGATGCCCCTGACCCCACCCATCAGGACCATCCCCACACATCACGGTGCGTACTCACGATGATGCCGGCGGTCCAGGGGTTGAGCAGCAGCAAGGCGCAGACGAGGAAGGTGCAGGCCAGCAGGATGCTGATGGCCAGCAGGAACCAGTGCCGCAGGCCGATGTACTGCTCCCAGAAGAGGAAGGGGTAGCCGCTGGGGTAGCTCAGCACGCCGTGGCGCTGGGCGGCCTCCTGGCAGATGGCCCGCACGCTCTCAATCGCCTCCACGAAGTCAGACGTGCGACGCAGCCCGCTCAGGTAGAAAGGGAACTGAGCGAACTCCAGCGGCTGGGCTGCTGGGACTGGTGAGGAGATCACAGGCAGTATGAGGGTATGGGCAGGATGGTGTACAGGCGGCACGAGAGCACCACAGTCACACCAGCCTGAGTGCAGCCTGGGCAGCCTGATGCCTGGCTGGGTACCACAGGACTGGGGAGTGTGTAGGGAACAGACTGGGGTCAGGGAGGAGGGCAGGATATTTCTCTGCCTGTAGGATTTTTGTGCATTAGTGGGTTACTCTTTGCAGTGAGATGCTCATGGGCTGGAGCAAGCGTGTGTTGCTAAGGGCATAGGGAATGTACAGTGGGATACCAAGGGTGTGGGATGCAAGAGGACAAGGGTCAAGCATGGAGAAGCAAGGCAGTTTACCAGATGGGGCGAGGGATGTGAGGGGTTTCCCTTCAGGGCAAAAAGGTGTGGGGAGTGGGAGGAGGAGGAGGACAGCAAAGGCAGAGGAGGCCCTGGGGAGCCCACCATGCTCACTCACTTCGCAGGTTCTCGCCCGTGGTGTCATACTTGTCATGAATCCACTCGGGGGGTGGGGGATAGAAGTTGGCCTGGGAGGCAGCAAAGCCCAGGGGGTCGTTGCTGGCCCACACTGTCAGGCAGATGTAGAAGGTGTCGGGGGGGATGATGCCATTCTCATCCACCAGTCGCCGCGTGGTCAGCTACAGGAAAGACCAGGAGTGGACATGAGCTGGGCACCTGGGGCAGAGACATCCCCAGCCCAATCAGCCCAGCCCTGTCACCACTCACCTGGTTGAAGTTGAAGGGCTCCTTCTTGTTGCCAGTCTGGATGAGGAGCTTGTATGCCAGTGCCCCATCCTCGGAGCCATTGCGGTAGCTGTCGTGGGTGATGCGCCCGGCCTGCCAGTCCCTGTCGAAGGTGGCCTGGAGCCCTGGGGATGCAGAATGGGGGGTAAGCATCCATGGGGACACACCACCCTGCACACCACCCTGTGTAAGCCAGGGAATGTGGTGCCAGAGGGATGGGCACACAGAAACACCAAGGCTCAGCTTCCAGTGCTGGGCACCTTGGGACCATCCTCCCCAGCACACAAAGGAGGGCATTCCCAGGCCACTGGGGAGCATGCAGGCTGAGGAGAGGACTGTCAGGCAGGGGAGGTCACAGAGAAGAGGCATGTCCCTCACCTCGCAGCCAGTCCTGGAAGTAATGGAGCCACATTTTAGGCAGGTCGCGGTTGCCCTCCCGCACCACGTACTTGACGGTGCTGAAGGCCTGGTGCAGGCTCAGCAGGGCAGCCTGGGCACCCGGGTAATGGAAGCCACCCTTAGTGACAATGAACATGTTGTAGAAGGAGAAGTACTTGAACTGGGCCGAGATGAAGGCGTGTGCCTTGGTGTCCCGTGGCACAATGTCCGTCAGGTAGAGGCCATCGTGTACCATGGTGGTGCCATAGAGGCTCAGCCCTAGCAGTGCCAGGAACAGCACCACCACCACCACCTGTGGGGACAACGGAGGGGTCAGGAAGAGTCCTGTGCCACCCACCCACCTTGAGTGGCACCTCCAGGCCTGCCCCCACCTCACCTTGGTCCGGGTGCGCAGAAGGAGCGGGGCGTACTTCTCCCGGGCGAAATCAGCGAGGCTCCAGCGGCAGAAGGGCAGGGGGACACACTCCCGCCCGCCCTTGGCCTCATCCAGCTGGGACAGCAGATCCCGCGTGGAGCTGGATGGGGCGAAGACCTGAGAGCCCAAGGGGTCACTGTGGGGCAGGAGGATGGCAGGTGAAGTGCACACCTGGGAGGTGGGCGGCAGGACGGTGACAATGTGGTGACCCGAGGGGTCACAACGGGTGAAGGCTTGCACAGTGGTGGTGATCTGGGTGCTGGTGGCCATGCCAGGGTGCCCATAAGGAGATGGGTGGCAGGCATGGTTGTCGTTGGCATCAGCAAGCTCTTGGGGCTGGATCTGGATGACCCTTGAGGAGCAAGGGCTGCATGGAGAGAGCAAGAGAGAAGGATAAGATATTAGGTCACCCAATCTTCTTTAGGGACCTGTGGGGTCAGAGCCAGCCCAGCCAGCACAGTGCCAGTACCTGTAGAAGCAGCAGAGGATGTCGAGCCGGCGTTTCTCCCGGCGGTGCAAGTCCAGGCTCAGGATAGCAGGGAAAACAAAGAGCACCATGGCGAAGTTGAACACAACAACCACTGCAGCCTGCAGGTATTGGGGAACACACGTCAGAACAGGGTCTGGCCATCCCTTCCCATCCCCTGGAAAGGGACCATGGCCCTACCTGGAGGGAGAAGGCACGCAGGGCAGGGATGGGCACCAGGGCTGCCATGAAGAAGGCGATCATGTTGCTGACAGAGGTGAGAGCCACACTGGTCCCCGTGCGCTTCAGACACTCACCTGTCCGCTCCTGCAGGGACAAAGAAGGGGTGATGAGAGAGACCATGCAGAGGCAGGAAGAGGCTGAGAAGTCCCTGGGCAGTGCTCAGTGCTCACCTTGAAGGGGATGTGCTGGCTCATCTCGGTGAAGGCGTGAGCCAAGAGGAACATGTCATCCACCCCAATGCCGAGGGCCAGGAAGGGCAGGACCTGCCACAGAGCAGCTGGCATGAGCAGAGGGACGTGGCCACCACTTGAGAGGGCCACCCCTGAGCCCTCAGGGTCCCACCCATGTCACAGTACCCAGCTCTTCCTCCAGCACATACCTGGGTGGTGGCTGCATTGAAGGAGATGCCCAGCAGTGAGCAAAGCCCCAGGCCAGAGGCGACGGAGAGAGCCACAAGCAGGACCCCAGCCAGGCCCACAGCCCCTTGGGACCTGGAGCAGTCCCACCGCAGCATGGTGACACAGGCATAGGCCAGCTGGAAGAGCACAGTGGTTAGCAGGGACCAGGGGGGAGATGGAGGGATGGCAGAGGACAGAGAGAAGGGGCACACATACCATGAGGAGGTAGCCCCCAGCCACCCGGATGACGCTGACGTCAGAGAAGGACTTCATGATGTCATTGAGTGTGGTGGTGGAGAAAGCATGGACACTCTGTGTGGCGTTGGGAGGGATGGAGTCCTGTGCCAGCTGCCAGAGGTGCATCCCATTAGAGGAGTCAGGAGCCCCCTGCTCTACAGTACACCCACCCCAGAGCCATTCAGGGTGTCAGCACCACCACTGACAGTCCCTAGGGATGCACTGGACTAAAAGAGAATAGTGCCAGAACCCACGGCCACATGAAAACCTGGGCACAGAGGGATACCCGTGCACAGGCTGACCCCCACCCAGCCCCATGTAGGGGCTGTTCCTGGTGCTCACCTCTACGAATTTCCTCTGCCAGGCCTCCAGGATGGCTCCTGCCTTCTCCTCGCTCCAGCTGATATCATGGATCTCGTAGTCATCCTTGAAGTGCTCATAGAGCTGCCGGGGGCTCATGAGGAGGAACATGGTCTGCAGGGCCTCGGCGCTGGGGGACAGGCATGGACCTTGTTGGGACTGGCTGCCACACCCCAGGATGCAGGAATGGGTCCATCCCCCACCCCAGGGCACCCATCCACACCATGGACACCCAGGAGAGAACCCAAGCATCCTGCCTCCTTGCTCTGCTTTCCTCTGCCTTGCTCACTGGCCCCACACACTCACCAGCCTCTGAGACTGCCCCACAGCCCCTTCTGCAGCCAGGGCAGGTATCCTCCCTGTGCCTGGGGATGCCCACACCACAGTAGCTCTTACCGTAGCAGCTTGCCCTGGGAGTCTTTGGTCGTGCCGCCTAAAATCAGCTCCTGCTGCCAGCGCATGAACTTCCTGGAGAAGCCATGGCAGCCCCCCGAGAGTTCGGCCGGGATGTCAGGGCTCTGTGGGTGGAGGGGAGGTGTCAGGATTGTGGGGCAGGCAGGAGAGCAGTAAGCCCCCACACCCAATCCTGGTCCTCATGGACTGTGACCCACCTGCTGGCTCTGTTTGTTGGGAGCACTGGAAGGACACTGGGGGTCCCGGGGGTCCAAGCAGGGCCGCTCCATGTAAGCCTGTCCCACCTCTGCCTTGTCCAGCAGCTCTTTGAAGCCTTCCAAGGATGTGAACTGCCCCAGCTCCTCCATCAGCTGCAGAGGGTCCAGGTTGCTCCACTGGATATCTGGGCGGCCCCTGGGCAGAGAGCAGCACGGGGGTCGTGGGGATGCCAAAATCCACACGCGGTACCACCACCACCACTGCCAACCCATCCCAGGGGTGCAGTGGATGCCCCCACAGGCAGGATACGAGGATGCAGAGGAGCACATCCCTTACCCCTTCCCGGGGCCGCCTGCCGAATCCCCCGTGCCCTGTGCGCCACAGCGGGCCATGCCCCGAGTCAAGTAGCGTGCCTGATCCTGTTAGTCCGGGACAAAGCGGGGGGAGCCGGCCCTGCTGCCTGGCCCCGCTTTGTGTGAGCAGTCAGGCCGATTACTGCCCATGGGCTAACATCTTGATAGAGGGGAGCAGGCAGGCAATAGCTCCCGGCATCCCTTACAGCCCTTCCTGCATTTTCCCCCAAGCTGGAGAGTTTGGGGCTCAGCAGAGGTCCTGGGGACTCAGCACAATACTGGGAGCCGAGCCTGGAGTAGGTTCTTGGAGGTCCAGCAGGACCGCACAGGACTTGGGTACCCAGGAAAAGGGTTTTTCCCATTGCCTGCAGATGCTCTGCTCCCTCCACCCCAGCCTGGAGAGCTGGGGGCCAGCTTCCAGCCACACTCAACTTCTTTTTTAAGACAGAAAAGACACACAAAAAAGCCAATAACCCAGCCCAGCACTCCAAAGAGGGGAAGAAAAAGCCCCGAGCAAGTGTGGGCTCTGGGGAGAAACACAGCCTAATAATTCATGAAGGCTGGCTGGGCCAGAGCCGGCCGCTCGAGATTCCCACATACCAACCGGAGCTGCTGCTGCTTCCAAAGAGAGCCCCTTTTATCTGCTTTCGCTTGCTTCACTGAGCCAGGGCAAATCCTTTTGTCTTTCCATAGATTGCTGCTCTTTGTTCTCCCAGCTCCCACCCCGCTCACCCTTTGGCGTTAAAAAGGGGGACGAGTCCCCATGGGCCGGCCGGCACTCAGCCGGGGTGCCCGCCCGGGCACCCGTTCACTCGGCTGCCGGAGAGATGAGTCCCATGGCTGCTCCAGTGCCACCCTGCCTGCCACGTACCTCAGCCCAGAACGCTGCCCAGCCCGGCAGGCAATGCCAGCAGCATCCCGTCTGCACAGCCACCCCAGCCCCCCTTGCTCCTGCTCTCGGCAGTTCCCCAGCCTGGGATGGGGAGAACCTGAGGTCCTGGGGGGGCAAAACCAGCCCCCTAGTCCTGGCTGAGGATGCTGCGGCCCCTTCCCCCTCCTCCCGTCCGCAGCAGCCTGAATAAGGCCACTATTTCATCTATTTGGCAAGGGGCAGCTTTCAGAGCAGCATTAGCATGAGAAAGCACGGGGCTGCGTTTGCTGACAATGCACAAGCCGCCCCAGCTCTCCCGGACAAACACACGCGTAAACAGCAGGAATGTGGGGGAGGCTCCCCCGGCCCAACCCGGGGTCCCCAGCCCCACCAGCACGGTGTGAGGAGCTGGCTGGGAGTCACTCACACCCAGCCCAGGAACTCTGTGCCCTCCGTGCAGCTCAGGAGTGGGTGCCCCCTCACAATCGTGGCACCCACAAAGCGCTGCCGGGGGCGGGGTAGCAGCCTCAGGGACCCCGCCTGTGGCACAGCCACTGTCCCCCTGTCCCCATCCTGGCCAGTAGGAGAGCATGGCAGAGACTGGGATGGGATGGGATGGGATGGGATGGGATGGGATGGGATGGGATGGGATGGGCAGTAGCCCCCCTGCAGCAGTGCAGCCCTACCTGTGCCACTGAGGCCAGGCAGGGCAGGACAGGGACCTGTCCCTAGGGTGTTGACCCAGCAAGACAGCAATGGTTGTGGGACCAACGTAGGGCTGAGCAGGACAAGCTGCAGCAGCACTGAAGCACCTTGGAATAGGCAGAGCCAAGCTACAAAGGGAGGTCAAGCACAGCCCCTCAGCAGCATCCCCAGCTCCTGCTCCCACCCAAGGTCCCCCACAGCTCAGGACAGTTCCTCACAGACACTCACGGGAGATAGGCTGAGCCTCCCTGCAGCTTGGAACCTTCCCAGAAGCAGTCCAGCGGTGTCAGGATCACACAGGGGAACAGCTTCTCTATCATCTGTAGGAGGAGACGCGAGGGGTCAGCAGGGATGGATCAGACAATGCCAGTGCCCCCCTGCCTTGCTGGGCTTCCCAAACCCGTGCCTTCCCATATCCAGCCAGCAGTGCCTTCACAGCACCTGGGGCTGACAAGCCCTGTCCCCACCACAGCCCATCCACTGCCACTCTTGATGGACTGGTCCCGTGGGTCAACAGCCACACCCGGGGGGACTCCAGAGGGCCATCCATGAGCAGCACTTACCCTCTCAATCATGCCATTCTCAATGATGGGGACACCCGACTTGTAGCAGATCTTGTTCAAATCCCACGATCTGGAAGGGCAGAAGGAGGAGCTGAGAATGGGCATATGCCACAGGGGACATGGCAAGGGATAGAGGGACGTGCAGAGCACGGCGAGGATCCCCGTCCCCCATCCGGAGCCGGACTCACTTTCCGTACAGTGAGACTTGAACCTTGCTGGCGGCCAAGGCCGCCTCGAGGTGGAGCTGCAGGGCCTCCTGTGTCAGGATGTTGTCACCATCCTTCTTCGGGGTCTGGATCAACATCTGGGAGGTGTAGACAGACTCCTCGCCCAACTTCTCCTTGGTGTAGCGCAGCTCCTGGCTCACCCGGCTGCCCGCTGTGGAGGGGACCATGATGTGCCCTGTCAGTGCCAGGGCAGGCACAGCCCCCATCCCACCAATTTGCCCTGCCCATCAGGATGCCCAGGGAATGGGATGGGCAGAATCAAGGCCGTGCAGCATCAGACAGTGCCATGATCACTCACAGGGGCTTCTTGGTGTGGGGTTTCCCAGTTACTGCATCCTCTGGGTGCTCACACCCAAGGGATCCAAACAGGGACCACCTCAGGACGCACTGGACCAGGCATCTCCCTTCCCACCAACACTGTACCCAGGCCCAAAGCAGCTTGTTGGCTTTGCTTTCTCCAGAAAAAACCCACAAACATATGGTTGGTGAAGTAAAGTGGACCCAGCCTGTCCACTTCCACCTGTGCACTGTGGTGGGTGCTGCAGATGCCCAAAACCAGCCCACAAAACAGGAAGCAAAACTGGGGGCAGCCCAGCCCAGCCCAGCCCAGCTCCTCCATGGCACCCCACAGCAGGCAGGGAAGGAGTGTAGGAGAGGCAGGCACCCCAAAGTCCCTGCAGGTGTAGGCTGCCCCAGGAGGGGTTTGAGGACAGGGGAGGGACATGGTGCTGGGGACATCACTCTTCCCTGCCAAGGCACTGGGATTTGTTCCCCCTTCAGCAGCAGGAGAGCTCTGAGCACAGCAGGGCCAAGGTTTCCAACTGAAGCCACCAACTTCATTTGCGGCTGCCTCGGCGTGGAAGACAAATCCCCTCCCAGCCAACGTGGCTGGGGCTGGGACCAAACCCTGCACGGTCTCTCGCATGGCTGAGCACCAGCCCAGGGACAGCTGTTCCCATCCCCTTCGAACGTGGGGCTCCCATCCCTCCTGGCATAGCCCGGGGGGGGTGGGAAGTGGATCCTGAGACCCCTCCCAAGTGCACCACTCGGCTGCCCTGCTCCCAGCCCCCTGCCCACGGAGGGAGGGATGCTGCCCTGGCACATCTGGGGTGTAGCCCCCATCCCAGTGCCACCCACTGGGGTACCCCAGGATGCCCAGCGTGGGATGGTTCCCAAGGCAGTGCTGCTGGCAGGGGCGAGGCCAGCTCCTGCCCAGCCCCGGGAAAGCGAGAGGAGGTCACGATTCATCTGCACCAGGATGCTCCCTCAGCAAGAGGCGGGGGCCCCGGCGGGCCTGGCCCTCCGCCAGCACCGAGGAGGCCAGAGCGAGACCGCAAATAAGGAGCAGAATCTTCCCTTTTAATGACTTATTATATGGGTTGGTGTTTTGGGTTTTTTTTTTTTTTCCCTGCTTTTTGGGAACGGGGAGGGCAAAGCATCTTTATTGTTCCTGGCTGGGCCAGGGAGCAGCTGGTGTCCATCAGATGCCAGTTGGGATAGAGGTTGTGCCAGGGACAGGGAGGGGGGGACATGGCCGCGGCTTTTGTGTGTGTGTCAGAGGGCATAGCAGCACCCAGGGCGAGGGGACGAGGACACAGGGAGGGTGGGTGTCGGGGGTGGGGGGAAGTGGGACGCCCATCCCGTTCCCAGCAGGCTGGGAGGTCGGGCAGGAGGTGCGCCAAGCTGCTCTGATCTCAGCCATGCCACCCACGCCGAGCCCGGGCGGGAGGTGGGACACGGCGATGAGGGGGTGCCCGACAGCGCTGCTGCTCCCGGGGGATGCATCCTGCTACGCCCTGCCCTGCCGGCATCTCCGCCCAGCACGGCCGCGGGAGGAGCCACACATCTGCAAGCATGGGGTGGGGGCGAGCCCCCGAAAAATTAAAGGAAAGAAAAAAAAAAAAAAAAACAAAAAAAAAAAAAAAAAAAAAAAAAAGAAGAATAAAAA